GGTCCCCGTTCAGGAGTTGAATGGATTACCTTTGTGGGAGACCTCCCGAACGGGGAGCGGGCACAATAAACAAAAGAATGGGGAGAACGCACATAATATAAAGAAAGGCAATTCACGGACAGTCAGTAGTTCCGCCACTGTTCCCCCTCCCCCCTTCATTTACCTCTCCCTAAACTTCTCACATGCGGCGTCCTCCCTTCATTTACCTGTCTCTATCCCTCTCACATGTGGCCATCCCCCCCTTTATTTACCTCTGCCAACCCCCCTCATGTGTGGCGTCCCCCTCATTTACCTCTCCCTACCACTCTCACATGCAGTCTGCCCTTTATCATTTACCTCTCCCTACTCCTCTCACGTGTGGTATCTTCCCCTTCATTTACCTTTCCCTACCCCTCTCACGTGCAGTCTGCCCCCCCATCATTTACCTCTCCCTACCCCTCTCACGTGTAGCATCTCCCCCTTCATTTACCTCTCCCTACCACTCTCATGTGCTGCGTCCCCCCTTTCATTTAGCTCTCCCAACCCCTCTCACATGCAGTCTGCCCCCATTATTTAGCTTTTCTTACCCCTCTCACGTGCGGCATCCCCTCTTCATTTATCTCTCCTGCTACACTCATGTGCAGTCTGCTCCCCTTCATTTACCTCTCCTTACCACTCTCACGTGTGGCGTCCCCCCTTCATTTACCTCTCTCTATTCCTCTCACGTGCAGTCTGCACACCTTCATTTAGCCCTCCCTACCCCTCTCACGTGCAGCGTCCCTCTTTCCTTTACCTCTCCCTACCCCTCTCACGTGCAGCGTCCCCCCCTTCATTTACCTCTCCCTATCTCTCTCACGTTCAACCTGTCCCCTTCATTTACCCCTCCCTGCCCCTATCACGTGCAGTCTGCCTCCCTTCACTTATCTCTCCCTACCCCTCTCATGTGCGGCATCCCCCCCTTAATTTACCTCTCCCTATCCATCTAATGTGCAGTCTGCCCCCCTTCACTTACCTCTCCCTACTCCTCTCACGTGTGGCGTGCCCCATTTCTTTACCTCTACCTACCCCTCTCACGTGCAGTCTGCTCCCCTTCATTTACCTCTCCCTACTCCTCTCACATGTGGCCATCCCCCCCTTCATTTAGCTCTCTCTACCCCTCTCACGTGCGGCGTCCCCCCCTTCATTTACCTCTCCCTATCTCTCTCACGTTCAACCTGTCCCCTTCATTTACCCCTCCCTGCCCCTCTCACGTGCAGTCTGCCCCCTTCACTTATCTCTCCCTACCCCTCTCATGTGCGGCGTCCCCCCCTTCATTTACCTCTCCTTATCCATCTAATGTGCAGTCTGCCCCCCTTCACTTACCTCTCCCTACTCCTCTCACGTGTGGCGTGCCCCATTTCTTTACCTCTATCTACCCCTCTCACGTGCAGTCTGCCTCCCTTCATTTACCTCTCCCTACTCCTCTCACATGTGGCCATCCCCCCCTTCATTTACCTCTGCCAACCCCTCTCATGTGTGGCGTCCCCCCTTTCATTTAGCTCTCCCAACCCCTCTCACATGCAGTCTGCCCCCTTCCTTTACCTCTTCCTACCCCTACAACGTGTGGCGTCCCCACTTAATTTACCTCTTCAGAATCCTCTCTCGTACAGTCTGCCCACCTTCATTTAGCTTTTCCTACCCCTCTCACGTGTGGCATCTCCCCCTTCATTTATCTCTCCCACTACTCTCACGTGCAGTCTGCCCCCCTTCATTTACCTCTCCCTACCCCTCTGACATGTGGCCATCCCCCACTTCATTTAGCTTTCCCTATCCGGTGTGTCTGTTT